GCGAGTGTATGTAACTTAGATGGTTTAACATACCAAAAGACACTTCCTGTGGGGAATTTGCTGGAAAAAGAAGAGTTATGTACAGATGTGGAAAAAGTAAATGCCCGCCATTGTCTTAGCTCTTTCTTGAGCTCCTGCCTTTCTTGGATGATAGACTTACTCCCATAGTGGAGAAGATCTCTGGATGCTCTTCTCTGTTAAGCGTTTCTCTGTCTCAGGAGCTGGTTGGAACTTAGATAAACAGCTTAATGTTTGATGGATGACATAAATTCTACACTCATTCCTAGTGGGGTATAAAATATCACTTGTATTTATGTGCAGCTTTGCTCTTCAGTTAAACTTTTCACTCCACTCTGTTCTATTTTGATGCAGCATTTCTTCAAACAGGATAATTAACCTTTTTTTCTAAAGCTCACTTAGTCCTACATATTGTGCAATAACTCAAAGGGTTACCTTTACAGAATTGCGAAAGACTAGAAGTCCTGCTTCTCTAGTCACTTTGTCTTTGTCCCCCCTTATCTCTGATGAAGGGAGTCCAAGGACACAGTATATCAAGGCAATATTATGAGAGATGAACAACATTTGTAAAAAGGTTGTTTTGCCTTATAAATAAATGCTCCTTTCTAAAAAACAAAAGTGAGCATCTAAGTTAAATGAACTCATTAGCTCAGCCTCTAAGGATAGTGTAAGGGTGCAGTTGAGACCCCTGAAAAGAGGGAAGGAGGAGATGAGGAGATGGAATAGAGAGGAAAATGAGGTGCCTCTATAAGTGGGACTCAGCAAAAATACAAAGGCAACCCTAGGGAAAAGTCTCCCTGGTGCCACCAATATGACTGAATCCTGATGCAGAGGGACTGACCCAGTCACGTCAGGGTCTGTTCAGATGAGACTATGCCCTTGTTGAACAAACCAACGTTACTGAAGCAAAGAGACTGGGAATTTTCTTTAAGATCCAGGTCTTGCTTACATATCTGGCCACAACTTTTTCCATTCCTCAATCCACACACTGTTTTTCATACATTCCTCAACAATTTCAGGAATCCAAATGGGTCATGTTCTCTTGTATCTCATTACCTTGTACTTGCTTTTCCCTCCACAAGCAAAGCAGTCCCCTCTTCTCCCCACCCCATTTGTTCTACTCCTACTTATTACAATATTAGGTCACAGTTTTGAAGTTGTTTCTTCAGAAAACCTCAATGCATGAAAACTGCATCAGCGGTCCTATTCCTTTGCTCCTAGAGGTTCCTATAATGATTGGTATTATAACACCCATTACACATTGCACTTGCTTGTATAATTAATTGTCCACATGCTGCACTAGATTGCAAAACTCCTTGAAGTCAGAGGCTGTATCTTATTTACACAGTAATCACATCTCCTTCTACAACACCTGGCATTAGCAGATAATATATTTTGAATGAATAAATGAACAATCAAATTCCTAAAATAGTAGAGTAAAAACCAATAGCAACTGCATTATATATAATAAACATTTGCTTTGCTACAGAAGGTGATGAAACTCAGGTACTATTTTGTCCAAATCTTAGGTACATTGGAGCAATAAAAAGAAACATGGTTGCTCAGAAACCAGATAACCTCTTTGAAAGCCTTCAAACATGGCATTCCCTCTCCACATAAACCTGTGTGACAAACTCAAACTCACTGCTCTATCGAGCTTCTTGGATAAATAATTTAATTTAAATCCTATATCAGTATTTAAACTAGTTTTTTCCTTAAGTGTTCTGAAATTCTATAGATTTTAACACTCACCATACTACAGGCTTTCAATCTGAAAGGTCAACTTGAATTGTAATACAATCAAATTTTGATATGGGGTTTTAATTATAGCAAAGCATAACTTGAACTGATATCATTTTAATTTTATTATATTGTTACATGCTATAATCTGGCTCAGTTTGGTATTCCAAAAACCAATCCTTCATTAAGAATGCCTCTAAAGTAAATAAGATTTTTAGGAAATGATTGTTGGTTGAATAGCTTTATAATTTGGAAATCAATCCCCTGACAAAATGAGAAATATAAACCATAGCTTTTGGGTGATAATTCACCAGTTTAAAGGTTAAGACAGAAAGTTTACATGTATTAACTTCATGAACTATTAAACCCATTTTATAGATATAGAAACTGGAACTTAGAAAGTTTCAAAGCCACATAAAAATTAGGTGACTGAACCAGAGTTTGAACCTACATGTTCTTTCCACAAAAGCATATACTGCTTACCTTTCCATTAAGGTTACCTCATCCCACCCCACCAAGTAACCCCAGTGAACCACTTCCTGGAGCATAAGCATAATTGCGTTTTACCACTTGAGTGTCCTATCTAGAATGTGTTGTTTCCCTTCCTTTTTTTCTGTTAAAGACCTTCTATCCCTCAACACCCTGTTCAGATGAAACTGCTTATGGAAGATTCTGCCCTTATGCCCCTGTTGGAATTAATATCTTGGTGCCACTTCTCTGTTCTGTAATATAGTCAGGTCCTTATATTGTTTTATTTTTCCAATAGACCAAACTCTTTAAGAATAAGTAGTTTGTCTTATCCATCTCTAGATCCCCACATTACTCAGGTGTTACTTGATAAATATTTGAGGAACAGGATGAAAGGTGTAAAGGTGTTCCCTTTCATTCTGTTAAACACACATTAGCAAAACCAAATCTTTTGAAAAGTTGTTATATACTTCTGGAAACTTTCCAAAATGCTTAGAAAAGGACTTTTCATAAATTGTGTCCCCAATAAAAGTGGTTGACTAGATTACTTCCTCCATCATTACAGCACAAATAATTTGCCGACAGAAACTATTGTATCATAAAGGAATAATCATAAATGACCTTACCCTAACAGCTGTCAGATAGTACTATGATAAGTTTATTTATAAATAAAAAGAAATACAACTGATAATGATGAATCAAAGCGAGAGGTTAACTATTTAAAAATTATGTTTGCACATGTTTTAAAAGAGACATGTTTTATATAAAATAAATAAAATTAAAGTATTTTAAAGATCAAATAAAACTTGTCATGCTTGAAAACTTGATAAGAGACCAATTAGAGAAGTCTGATGACTCAGGCACTCAAAGGGCAGGCGGAAAGTTGCATAGGGTGGAATTTCCTCTGACATAATGTAAGCATGAGGGTGCACATGTTCTTTATCTGTTGCGATAATATAAAAAGCCACAGGAGCTCTTCATCCAACACAAGTCCTCGGGGACAACAGAGCTCACAAGCTTCTAGGACAAGAGCCAGTAAGAAAGCGGAAAGAAAACCCTTCGTGTCAACATGACTTCCAGGCTGGCCGTGGCTCTCTTGGCAGCTTTCCTGCTTTCTGCAGCTCTGTGTGAAGGTAAGCGCATCTTTCTGCTGCAGGGTTTTCCTGTGTCTAAATGTAATCCTCAGATAGCAAGATTGTCTTAATGCTTTGATAAAAACATCATTTTTATTCAGGAAAAGAAATTTAAGTCATTTAAGGTCAACTAATTCAATTGAAGTTTTAATGTTTTAGACTGTATCTATACAACACTTAGAAAAGTATGAAGTTTGGTTAATATAGACATTCTGTTCTTACCATTCACACTCTGTAGTATGCATCGATTTAACATCAATCTAATTCAGAGTATATCTTATTGGGGGCCACATTTACCCATGTTATCTATCAATATTGAGCGAGACAACTCAGGTAATTTTACTCCATGTACTATTTTGACAAGCTTCAGACAGCTATCAATTCCTATTTGGTTTAAGGACATCCGGACAGATTATAGACCTTCTTGGATGCCTTTTATGAAACAAATACAATTAGAATGTTTATGGTATATAGTTTTAAATTTTTTTCTTTTCTCTTAAGCATTAGTATTTTGTTAAGATACAAGACATCTCTGTGCAACTCACTTATATATTTCTATTAATTCTTTCTGAAAGCAATTTCTCTATTGTTGAACCTTAGTTTGCCTACTATAAACAGCATTGTGGTATCACAGAGGATTATGCAATATCAAATAGGAAAAAAGTATCGTCAGGATGTCAGTATTGCACAAAGACAACTCCAAGTCTTCATGTAGAAAGTATTCAATGTTGTCAAGAAAGACCATTAAAAAAAAAAAAAAAAACTGAGGTCAGAGATTAGGACAATATCCAGCCTTCAATTTCAGGAATAAGTTTGCTAAAGATATGATGTTTACTAAACACACAGTCACCAAGTTATCTTATTGAAATTAAAGAGGGAGTAGCTAGCTGGCAGAGCTGTGCCTGTTGATGAAATCAACTGTTGTTTTTATTTTTTTCACAGATGCAGTTGTGTCGAGAATAGCTACAGAACTTCGATGCCAGTGCATAAACACCCACTCTGAATATTTCCACCCCAGATATATCAAAGAATTAAGAGTGATTGAGAGTGGACCACACTGTGCAAATTCAGAAATCATGTAAGTACTTTCAAAAGTGATTAGATTTTTTACTGTAGAAAACCTAGAACTGAGGAAGGTGGAAGTGTCCAAAAGTTCTAGGTACAAGGAACACAGTAGTGAGCTGAACAGAAAAAAAAAATCCTTTTGCCTTCATGACGTTTAAATATGGTACCTGCCTTGATTCGTAGCTCAAAATTGCTTTAAACTTAGATCTTATGCCCATGCTTAAGGAACCATGGCTTGAATGGCAAAGGGATGTGTGAAACCTGCTAAATATTTATTTTAATCATATGTTTCTCATTTCAGTGTAAAACTCATCGGTGGAAAAGAGGTCTGCCTGGACCCCAAGGCAAAGTGGGTGCAGAAGGTTGTACAGATATTTTTGAAGAGGTTAGTTGGTTTTTTTTTAAAATAATAATTTAGATTATTCATTTATCCTGAGATATACCATCTAAGAGTCAGCCTATAAATTTCCTGCTGCTGCTGCTGCTGAAAATCTCTTTTAGGTAACTGCCTCTTTAATTAAAAAGAAAAAAATAGCAGTAATAGTGAGTTTGTTGTATTCATGACTGAGAAGACCATATATCTTAGTTTGTCAGGGAAGTCTGGATTTATACACATTCCCTGTGTCATTAATATGGTTCTCTTTCATTCCCAGAAGTGTCCAGGTTTGGATGATAACTTATCTGGTCTCTGTTTGTAGTTGAAAATACAGAACATTTCTAACACATGACTATCTAAGACTAATTAGTTTCTGTATTAAGCATATTTTTAAGGAACATACTTTACTTCTTATTAGAACATTGTTAATTTTAGATTTTATTTTATTTATTTTCAGAGCTGAGAAGAAAAGTCCATGAAAAAAAGTGCATTCTCCATGGTTTCCAAGAATTCCTCAGTAAAGATGCCAATGAAACTTCAAACAAACCTACTTCAGTGCTTCATGGACTGTGTGGGTCTGGGGTAGAATTGCCAGATAAAATACAGGATGGCCAGTTAAATTTGAATATTGAGTAAAACAACGAATAGTTTTTTCAATGCCCCATGCAATCTCTAGAACAGACTTATATTTGAAAAATTGTTCATTGTATACCATAACTTCAAATTTAGTTGGAAATCCTGTATTCTTTTTTTGGTTAAATATTGCAACCCTGGTCTGCTGGTCAAGATCCATGAGCACTTGTTCAACTGCTCCTTGAGTTCTTCATTTTTACTAACCTGGAGAAAAAGCCTCAGCCACCATCTTATCTCACAGAAATGTGAGAGCATGTGGAAGCAATTTAACTTTTTTCATGATTATGTAAATTATTTTTAAGTATAACTTATCCCCTATTTATTATTTATATATTTATTTAAGCATCAAATATATAGTTATATTTGTGCATGAATTTGAAACTTGGGAAAAACCACACTGTTGATAGAATAATATAATGACTGTCATGAATTTATATTTATTTTAGATCTTAAGCAATATATAGAATTATCTTGATCAAGGTTGTTTTAGTTTGATCAGGGTAGCCAAATTTAGCAAAATTAAAAACAAACAAATAAAACACCCAGTTAATTTTTATTTCAGATGAACAGTGAATAATTTTTTTTAAGTATAAGAGCACCATTATTTATCTTAACTTTTAATTGAACTGGCAATCCTACTTTTCATACTCCTTATATTATCTTGTTAAACTGTACTGTATTGAATCACCAGAATCCTGAGTTAGGTCTATCTTTCTCAAAACAACAAAAATTCACAAAGTAATTTCTTGCTGGTTAAAACTTATTTATTATGTCCAAATAGATTCTTATAATTTTATTTAAATAATTGTATGTTTTTTTAACACTCACTTTATTTTTTTAATTTAAGGCACTTTTATGTGTTTCCAAAAAGATTTTTTTCCTACTATTTTTGATGGTCTAGAAATATAAATATAACTATAACACATTTAGAATAAAATGTATTGTCAAAGTCATCAGGTGTTTGTATTTCTTTGGTAGTTTTAAATTTTATTGTCTTATATCTTTGGTTGTATTAAAAAATAAACCATATGATTTGGAAAACATAAATGCTTCTCCTTAGCATTTTGTATATTATGTTGGAAATTAAAAACCTTGATTTGTAGAAAAGTAGAATTCCTTTCCAGAGGTGGTTATAAACAGTAGTCTCTTTCACAGAATGATGGAAATTTTCTCAAATCCCACTGTATACATTTTTGCTAGTAAGGCTGACTTCAGATTTTCCATGAAGCAGCCCAGGTATCTGCACAGCTTAGCACAGCCCAAGTGTCAGTGAAAGAGGGAAGAGTATACATGTTATAAGGTACTTCTCAGCTAATTGAGGAGTAAAACTGACACTTATATAAGGCAAAGAAGTTCAAAATATGAATAAAGACCAAGTGTATTTGAAAACAAATTAAACAAAACTCTTAAAAGTAAAAAGACAATAATTTAACTAAAAAACTCAGTGGATGTGTTTCATAACAGATTAGACACAGCTGAAAAGAAAATTGGATATCTAGGAAATAAACCCAAAGAAATTTATCTGGAATTTATATGAGAGATTAAGAGGTGGTAACTTAGAAAAAGAAAGGCAAAGACATGGCGAATACAGGGATAAGGTATTCTAAGTGTCAAAATGGATTTTTAGAAGCAGAAGAGAGGAGGGTTAGAGGTAATATTTAAACAGACAAAGGCTGAAAACTTTCCAGAAATGATGAAAAATAACAATCCACAGTTTTAAGAAATCCAGTTAACCAATGTTTAACTTCACATTGCTAGTCAAAAAATAAGGATCTTAGAACTTTGACTCATCCTGTCTGTCCACCTCCAGATCATTTGCTATTATATTGCTGTTGGGTATTTTAAACCCACTCATGTTTAAAGTTCCACAATGCGGAGTCAGCAAGAGAGTCCTCTGTTATCTTCTCACTAGTTAGTTCACATTGCAGCCTGCTTTTGCTATGTCATTTACCTTCCATACCTGCAGTTCCCATTCTCTCTGTGGGTCCGCCATTATCTGTGGTGTAGAATAAAGCCCATTCCCTTTTCTAGTTTCCAGTGCACATGAACACAAAAGTGTGCAGCATAATAGAATTAGTAAACAATTTGTCAGTGTTGCACAAGCAGGAACTAACTAGAAATTCAACCCTGATATTTACTATTCTTAGAAATATAGTTCCCTCTAGAGTTGATTCCTCCCTGCCTGTGCTCTTCTCAGGCCATGTTGTGGGGCGTCTTCTTCCTCAGAGTTCTGCCTAAATTTCAGTTTCATATTCTTCTCTTCAAATTCAAGACCTCCTGTCATACCCATGCCCACTTGCCGTCTTTCATCTTGTAGATCTCATACATAATGAATGAAACCAATAGCAAACAAGGAATTTTAATAAAATGTTGATAGGAGAGGTACAGGGTTCTTCAGAAGCAGATATCAAGGAGTTATGTAACCTAACTAGCCTAGGTTTCCTAGAGAAAATCTAAAGTAGAATGTGAAGGATGAGTAGGAGTTGGCCACACAAAGGGAAGAAGGGTGTGTGGGGAAGCGTGTGTGAGGAAGCAGTGGAGAAGTAATTTGTAAACGAGAACATGACATGATTTGAGAAGTGAGAACATTTCAGTGTGACTGGAGTTTGCCATGAAACAGAACAAATACCAACAGATAAAGCTATGCTAAATGGACTATGGAATGCTCTAGAGGGCTTAAATTTGGAATTGAAAACTTTTAGTGAATTCCAGTTACTCTCATTTTAAATTGTGAACATTGCAGGCCCTTCTTCCTGGGTCTCCATCCAAAAAGGAGTAGGAAGCCATAAAAGCAGCTCAAAAGTCTGATCTTGGAGGCTTTTTAATCCTATTTGGAGGTTGAATCATCAAAGAACTCCCAACTTTAAATAAAACCTCTTAATGTGGTAAGTACACTTCTTTAATATGATCAGTGTCCAACTTTGAAAGCAAAGTGAAGACATCTGCACTGATCTGCACTCTCAATAATACTTTTTAAATAAATCTACTTTTTAATGATCTTTATCACTTTTAAAATATACTTAATGAGTTTTTCCACTCTGTCATCTAATTGTCACTGTCTCTAAGACAGCAGAAGTATTCCATCAAAAAGGTAAATAAGAAGATTAAATTAGAGATAAAGTATTATGTACCTAAGCCAAAATAGAAAAACAGAGTAAAAGAGTGTAAGACCAAGAGTTAGAGAGAAGAAAAAGCCAATCAATTTGCCGAATTGAAAATTTTTACTTCATTTTGCCTCAGTGATATTAATAAAATTAGTATATAGACACAGGGTTTATTTGTATAGACATAGATTTAGACACAAACTTAAACATGCCATCTATTACCCTATGTCTTTTATCCATTTGTGTGAATTATAAATTCACAAATCTAATTTTACAAAGTAGTAACATGAATGTAAAGATACAGGCACACATCCAAAATAAAAAAGTATGAAGAAATTATAAAAAAGTGTTCATCTTAAAATTGCATTAATTATAAAATTCTATAATACATACATTGCACATACAACATATAAAATCAGGTAATTTTCATAATTGCTTTTTTTTGTTTGCTAGAGATACATCAAGAAGTAGATTCATAGGTTGAAGTTACCTAAGAAAAATGTTTTATTATCAAGATTTTGGTAGTAAATAGATAATTATTTTTTGCTATAATATTATGCATTTATTTTGCCATTCAGGCTATGTTTGAAACACCAGAAGAAAGGATAAAAAACTATTTTGCTTTTTGCTTGTGGTAGTAATGCAGTAAGAATTGCTTAAGACTGTGTTAACCCTACAATAAAAAAAGAATGCTTAAGAAAGCAATAATTTCTCCATTACTCACTTAAAATAAAACCAGATTGCAATTGCCTCAAGTTTGACAAACACCAGCTGAATTTGCATAAAATACAGGCAACAAATGGGGAATTTTTTAATGTAGCAGAAATACCAGGCTGATTCCTTCCCATAAGATTTACAGTTGAGGCAATCAAGAATTCTCCAAAAGTTTACATAAGCATCAATGAACCCAACTCTTACTGAGTGGAGAAAGAGGGCTTCCCATGCTCTCTGTATTCTCATAGATAAAAATCAAGTTGGATAAATATTACCTATCTATCTATCTATCATCTATCTCTATATAGATAGACTGCAAAAGCAAAGTATGTTGAAAATTAAGATGAGAAACATTCAGATATTTCAACTCAAAGTTTGCTTTAGACATTATCTAGAGGAATGTTCTAATAGCTTTATAACAGATCACGATTCTGAGGCTGAAGATAGACTTTTTTTTAAAAGATTTTATTGGGAAATTGGGGGAGAGGAACAGTGTTGGGGAATTGGGGAAGGGAACCAGCCAAGTTGTTGTTCTTCAATTTTCGTTGTGGAGGGCGCCATTCTCCATCTGGCTTCCCATTAGCAGCTTGTGGCCTCTAAGCTCAAGGTGCTGTGTTCAATCTTAGTTGCGGGTAGGTGTAGCCACCATCCCATGCAGGAGTCGCACCGGGCAGCCTCATTGTTAAGAGTGCACGCCCTGTCCACTGAGCCATCCAGGAGGCAGCTCAGCTCAAGGTGCCGAGTTCAGTCTTAGTTGTGGGTGGGTGTAGCCTACCATCTAACAGGCAATCTTGTTGTTACACCAGCTGAGCCATCCTACCACTTGTTAGCAGCTCAGCGACAACTCAGCTCAGGTGCAGCATCACTGGCCAATGTGGGTATTGAACCAGCGGCCGTGTTGCTCAGAGCTCACGCTCTAAGCCTGCTCTTAACCAACTGAGCCACTCGGCTGGCCCTGAAGATAGACTTTTAATCAATCTATTGATTCTATTTCATAGGACATGATTTACCTCATGTTTTAATAACGTTATATGTGATTCTTTCCACTGTCTGCATCCTAAATTAATCTTCCATTTATCCTATGCTACTCAAAATGCCTTCTCATTTATATTTTTAGTGTTCCCTTAAATGAATTGTTTATGGGAAAGTATTCTATATGTAGATACCTCTGCCTAAATTTACTTTTTCTTCATGTTTTCCAAAGTATTCAACTTTGCCCTTACAGGAATCCCATATAGAGGTGTGTTTTGTTAAAG